TCTCGGCATCTGATTAATTTCCTCTCTCGAATCCAACGATACCAACGCGCCGCTATTTTAATCCCTCGTTAGGGAACCGATTTCGGGAACGATTCTCGAAAGCGACGCGTTTTGGGGCGTGTTAAGAGCAATACTCGAATGCTCAAACGGCATTTATCGTGTCGGATGCGCGCAAATGCGGGGAAATAATGAAGTGTACGAGACGCCGTGTTCCTGCCAATCCGGTTTATTCGACCGCCGTGAAACCGTGGTTATCGTTTCGTGTTTCGTATAGGCGAAAAATCAAATGTAACGAGGAATCGTCCCACATTGAGTTAAGAGATTACGTACGATCTGGAAATTGAACAATCATTTTTGCACGATATTTATATTTATATATCGTGGGATTGACCGAGTTTCGAGTTACGGATCATCATTTCTTCACGATGATTCGTAATTTGTAGATGTTGCAAAGAATTTACCGAGTTGAATGTAAAAATTCGTATATAATTACGAATTACAAATTGATACTCGACGCGCGCACATTTTTGTCATTTTCACTTTACAGCACTTTTCACAATACTTTTGAATCCCGTTCCATTACGAATAATTATTTCTCGCGATTTTTTTCCAACTCGAAATATTTCCAATGTAATTTTTCGCAAATTGCCGAGAAATTATTCAAATAGTGGTAATATCTCTGCACGGTGACAGATATTAATATTGAAATTATTTATAGAATATTTTTTTTTTTTCCATACGCGAATATCCGTATGAATGTAGAATTTATCGTCGGCGAAATTGAGAGAGAGAGAGAGAGAGAGAGAGAGAAATTTTTTTTTCCCCCTCAGAGACAGAAGTTGGGTGGCCGGGGAAATCCGTTGGATTGGAAGCTTCCCAATTGGTTGGTCGATGTCGCCGGGGCTAATGTCCGAACGAGTATTCTAATCTGAGTGCCGCGGCTCGCCAGTAACGTTTGTTTTCGATGAATGAACAACGATTTTTGCCGCGGTATATAAATTCCCACTCGTTCCTCCCTTCCCGCGCCGACTTTCGCGAAAGCGTGGAATTTATCAACGCGGAAAATACCTCTCTAATATTTCCCCCGGCCGAAATATTGAACGACAAAACGGTTTATTTTACGCTCGGATTCTTTACGGTTTTTTCCCCGTTATATAAAACGTTGACACGTCGCGACTGTACAGTCGTTTCGGATATAATGGACTTACAAATCAAAAACTTTTCACTTTACAACATTTCCCCGAAACAACAGTTAGAATTAAAATCAAAGTCACATAAAATGTTTTGCGTTTCCTCGAAATAACCGAAATTTCGCGTGAAATTTACGCTAGAACCTTCATTAAAACTGAATCATGATTATTCATCGGTCTCGGTTCTGCGGCAGGGAGGGAGACGCGAATTAATAAGAAACGAGAGAATGAATATATATATATGTACATGTGTATATATATATATATGTTTTTCATCACGCGAAAATGATATCGAAATAAAAAGGAAAGAAAAGAAAGAAAGTTGAAATCGATCGATGACACGGAAATATAAACAAAAATATAATTAAACGTAATTTTAATTATAAGAATTGAATTTCAAAAATGGATGCATCCCCTGTCACGCTGATCTAACGATCACTTTCGATCGCGCGAACGAAACACATACAGAGAGCATCCATCCTATCTGTCTCCTGATTAACCAAGGTCCTAACCCTATCGACACGTGACGCGCAAGTACAAATCCTCTCTCAATCTACGAAATAATCCCCGCTCGGAGTTGGAAATTATTCGCCGATTCAATCGCGTCGCCTGGTGAATTATTATCACTGGGGCTGGGGTGGCAAATTTTCAGCGGGATTCTCCCGGCCTCGTTACTCGCTCGGCTAAGAAAATCTCGCAATGACGGAATGACAAGGCCGTGACGGAGGGGGTTGGAACGATCGTGAGACTTACGTATATTGGTTTGCCTTGGTATCATACTCCAAACGGCCCTGAACCCCTTTCCCTCGATGCTCTCGTCACTGTGGAATCGTAGCCAAAGATACCTCGTCTTGGACGTGATCTCGGGGGGGAAATTCGTGCCGCAGAAGTTGCCGAGGAGATTGGCGTACCCGTGCTGGCCGTCACGTACCTCGAGATAATCGTAACGGCAGTCGGTACTATCCTCGAGCTTGAACTCGTCCCGAAAGTCGAGCCTCAGCAGCATCCCTTTCTCGGCTGAAAGAGGAAAGAGCCAACATTGTCGTTAGAAATCGTAGGAATCGTGGGAAATGGAGTCAAAAAAAATACGTGTCATCTCTTTATTCTCTCTGTATCGCATCGATGCCTCTTTCTCTCCTTCTCTCTCTCTCTCTCTCTATTTTTATCGACAGTTTTATTCAGGGATAGTTTCGGATTAACGATCTAGTTTTCGGAGAAACGATCGAGAGATAAAGCGTTATCGTTCGAATTCCCCGCACTAATCTAGTTGATTGGTCGGCTTGGCCGATAAATATTTTAATATCGTTAGCGACGGATGCCGTTCTGGCGTCCGACCAAATTATTCGAGGTATTCGTCACGCGATTCTTCTTCTTTTTTTTTCTCGTTCCGCTCCGAGGAGTGGATAATTCGGAGGATGGATCGTACTTTTTTATCCGACGAGCAGAGCGAATCGTTCGTCGAGACGTAAATTCGAACGTAGGAACGATTGATCGATCGTTAAAAGGGCAACGGCGCGGAAAATTCTGTTGTCGAAGCTTATCGTCTTCGTAACGCGATTATCCATACCAGCTTCCTCCATTCTTCGACAAATGCGATCTTTAATGCCTGACGAGTCCGTCCAATCGGTTGTATACGAGTTTTCCGTACGATAAATTGGGATCTGTGCTCCTTCCCTTCCCCCTTCCCCCGATGTAACGCGATCTCAAAGATCCGAATTCCTCGCGATTTACAAAACGAGACTGCTTCTTCGTCCTACCGAAATGGCGGCCGCCGGCGGAATTTACGCCGACGATAGGCGACACGGCCGGTAATGAAGTCGTTGGAATGCAAATGCGGTTCTCGTTCTCCTGGCACGTACCAAGATTATCCGGAAATTATTTACCGCGAATCGATCGTTAGGATTCACTTTGTCTTTGCACCAACGAGCTGAATCCTGCGATTCCCAAATGCTCAGTTTTCGCGTTTTCGCTCCATTTGCCAAAGCTTCGTAATCGCTCTATCGACTAATTATCCTAGCGACCAGCTTTCTCTCTCTCTCTCTCTCTCTCTCTCTCTCTCTCTCTCTCTCT